AAAAATATATAAAACACTGGGAAAGTAATGCATGCTACAGGTGCATTGAAAAGAAATACTAGAATGGTAACGTGTTCCCAGATTTACCTCATCTTGTGAGTTTTTATAATGGGGAATTTTCAGTACCGCTTCCTCCTTCAGCAACTGTCTGTTTATTTTTTCTTTTACAGAGAAATCTGGGCTCGGTTTTTAGCTTTTGAAAGTAACATTGGTGATCTAGCTAGTATACTGAAAGTTGAAAAACGAAGGTTTACAGCATTCAAGGAAGAATATGAGGGTAAAGAAACAGCCCTGCTCGTAGACAGGTATAAGTTCATGGACTTATACCCTTGCTCTGCAAGTGAACTTAAGGCTCTTGGTTATAAGGTAAGTGGATAACAACGCTTACATTCATTATTATGCTTTTCAGTCATAGCAAAATACAGCAGTTCCTTGTTTAGCACTTCTCTTACTTTTTTTTTTTTTTGCTTGACAGAAAAGTAGGTAAAACAGGCCTGGTGTGCTTCCCCCTTGTCTTCTTTGTGTCCTCTCTAGCAGGTTTGCTCTGACTACTTCTTGGCACTGTGCTACAATGAAAGCAAAACTGTGCTTTTACTTTTTAACTTGTTTTGATCTTGAGGCATGTTAAATGGAAACCTGCTGGGAAAAGACAGCAAATGAAAGCATAGGGCCAGAATGTGGTAACTCCACCCAGGTTATACCAGGGATGAATTTAATTTTCAGTCTAAGACTTCGACAGAAACTGAGCTATTTGGGTTCACCTGGGACAGTATTGTTGGGCAGCGGTGCCAGGCATTGTGGGCCAAGTGCAGAAAGGGGCAAGAAGTATGACAAACAGATGCAACCTCATGCATTTGTATTTACCTCTCATTTTTCCATTGAAAAGTTGACCTGTTAATGACATCACCACTCAGCTACAGGTCTCTGCTTTGGACTTAAACATGAACTCCTTCAAAAATCAAAATTATTTTTGAAGGTAGGAGAATCAGGATGAAAGAAATGCTGCCGACTGCCCTTCCACTCCAATTGGCAGAACCCCTTTCACTTCATTGAGAGCCATATCAAAAGGAAATAACAACTGTCCCAGTGATTCCTACAAATGACTGAGGAGACTTACCTGTAGAGATCAGTGGCTGCCTGTTTTTTTCAGTTGCTTATTATGGTCTAAGTGCTTCAATGCTGCTGTTTGGAATTTAAATTCTAGGCCAGAAGCCTGTAGCTGGTGGTCTCCTGTTTCATTTCTGACAACATGTATTTTAACTAGTATTTTAGTCCTGTGCAAGTCCATAAAGCTTTGGTAAGCAATTAGATGTTGTGTTTCTTTGTACCACGATGTAAAATAGGCTGCCAGAGAAGCAGAAATCAGCTCTGCTGGAGGAACTGTTGTTGCCCACTTATGTGAATGGGAAGTAAACCTTCAGTTCCTAACTCAGAAATAGTGCCTCAGCTTCCATTTATTTCTTATACAAAAAAGTAGTATGTGTAAAGAAAGAAAAAAAAGTCATTGAAGTCAACAAAACAGCTGAATTGTTGATCTTCACAATCTTAAAATAACCTGATAGGTGGAAATGAGTCACACTGAGCCATTGAATATTTTTCTTTTAAAGTAATCATGACAAAGACATTTTGGAGTTACAGGTGTGTTTGCAAGAGCATATGTCTTGACAAATGCATGCTAGGTGGTGTACTTAAGATTATTCAGCCCTTGGGCTGATTTCTGTTGCTTGTCATATGCCAAAATATAAGAATTTGAACTGATGCCTTGCATGCCTGCTAACTGCCATATGCTTGCTTTCTTTTCCAGCTAAAGCGATCTAGGGAATGAAATGAGGGAGAAATGATAGTTGTGAAGCTTAGTGGTCTGCACCTGTTCACCTAAATCTTTTTAACCTAAAAAAAGGAGCCATCCAAAAATGATAAATACAGTCCCATTTTGTAACAAAATTAGGTGTTTCTATTCCCAGCTGAACAGCCCCACTGTAGGACTGAAATGTACAATGACAATATGCAAGTTTTGCCCAGATGGTCTTCTAAGAGGACATCTGTAATTATAATTACGACAAAGTGAGAATAAGTGACTTGTCTGGAGAGATGTTTTGTTCTGTAATTTAAACAAGTGATACTGCCAAGTTCAGTGCTGTCTAATTGGCTTTTGCAGGATGTCTCTCGTGCCAAGCTGGCAGCTATAATTCCAGACCCTGTGGTTGCACCGTCCATTGTGCCTGTTCTCAAAGATGAAGTAGACAGAAAGCCCGAATATCCAAAACCAGACACTCAACAAATGATTCCATTCCAGCCAAGACACTTAGCACGTAAGTCAAATATGTTCGGTCCAAAGTGGCTATAGCTCACCTAACAGCAAGATACTAACTGGGATGTTTAGCAAACCTAATCATAGAGACTTCCTATAGTCTTCAGTCACCTAAATTTGTACTTACATTTTAGGCTGTTGTTTAATTGGATTGCTAAAGGCAGTATGTACAAGTAGTTTGGGGTCTGGTAAATGGTAATAACCTGTTACACATGCTGCTCATAGACTAGATCAGGGACTAAACAGTATGTAATTAGTAGAGGCAAAAGTGACGAGGTAGTAATTATTTGCACCCAATAATAATGGTGTTAAAGCAATACAAGTATAGCTGTCTTGCACTGTACTCATATAGTTTTTCTTCCCACAGCCCCAGGTTTACATCCTGTACCAGGTGGTGTATTTCCTGTTCCACCAGCAGCTGTAGTTTTAATGAAGCTCCTGCCACCTCCTGTTTGTTTTCAGGTTTGTTTTAAAGAATTCTGAAAACTTAAAAAAAAAATTACACAAGATTCTATTTTGACAGAACCAGGGTATGTTGCACTCTATTCAAAATAATCTACAAAACCTTTTTTTTTTTTTTTTTTTTTTTTTTTTTAACAAATCAGGGTCCCTTTGTTCAAGTGGATGAGCTCATGGAGATATTTAGAAGATGCAAACTGCCAGACAGTAAGTTGTTTGTTCACTCTAGAGTCTGTAGTAGTGCTGCATGACTTTGTTTTACATATGGATATTACTGTCTAAAACCCAGACCTCATTTATAGATGCTGATGTATAATTATTATTTAAAAGTACCCAGGTGAATTACCTGTTTGTAGGTTGGAATCGACCTAGAAATGTTTGTACATTTAACTGTGAGTGGAGATCAGTAAAGAGTAAAAAAGCTGAAAATCACCACCTGCTGCTTAAAAAATATCGTTGTGGTGGTGAACATTAAAAGAAATGAAGATTTTTCAGAATAGCCTTTAAAAGGAATATCCTTTAAAAGAAGTAGTGCATTATTTCTAGCAGCATAATAACTATAATTAAATTACAGATTTGCAGCATGGTTATATTTTACAATGCTTAATACCTTGCTAGGTATTTAGCAAACCTAATTATAGACTTCCTAGTCTTTGGCTATCTACATTTGTTCGTTGGTAGGTCTAACTCTGACTGCACATCGTTGCAGTGATTGAAAACAAGACAAGAACAATGTTTTCTTAGCTCCTACAACAGAAATAGCATTCTAAAATATGAAAAAAAGACAGATCCATACCCCAGGCTTCATGTAAACTATGGGAGATAATTAATATGCTACTTTGAGTTCTTCTGATAGTTGAAGAAGCAACTGATCAGACAGAAAGCTAGGATTTCCTTTAGAGGGAAAATAAAACATTTAAATTATACAGGTTATTTTTGAAGCCTTTTCTGTTTATAAGCAGAAACTGACTTGCTATGCATACTTGCTGATGAATCACGAACTAGGTGTACAGTCGCTCAAGGAGGCTTTCCTCTTTCATTAGGCTTGCAGCTGACCTCACAAACTTATGTAGAGGGAGGTCTCAAGCTGATGCAGCAGCATTTACTTTCTAATGAGTGTTTGCCATAGCTGAGAGTTTTAGACAGTTGGGAGTCAATGCTTAGCAGCTGTAAGAGAACAGTGTAGACATGTCTCATGTCTGGAACGTGTCTCATGTTCTGGAAATCTCCAAAACGCGTCTACCTTGGTGTCCCTGTTTGCATGCACGTTAACACTTACTCCTTTGTTTCTTTACTCCAAAAACATACCTGAAATTGTACTCAACTTTGCTGAAATCAGGGCATTTCTTTTCCCAAATTCAAGTCATCTTTTTCTCTTTCAAAAGCCGTTGATGAAGCTGTGCGAATAATTACTGGAGGCCTACCTGAAATAACTGTGGAAGGCAATGGACCTGTGGAAAATAATGCTATGCTCAACAAGGGTGTCAAGAGACCAAATGAAGATTCTGACGACGATGAGGAGAAAGGATCGGTAGTTCCCCCTGTACACGACATTTACAGAGCACGACAACAAAAGAGAATCCGGTGAAACAAGGTTGGAGTTCTACTGTGATAGACAAAGACTTGCATTGAATTTTTCAGTCTCTTAAAAGTCAAGCATTTAAAAGGGACAGCTGCAAATAAAAAAAAAATCTTGAAAATGGTTTTGTTACTGTGGTGCCTCTTCTCCTATTTGGCTCTTGATCTGAAAACAGACAGAACAATCTTAGAACGTGCTCTGAACAAAACTAGGTTTTCAAAACCAAAAGTGCGAAATGTCTAAACTGCATTTTGTTCTTCAAGGGTGTTCACATCTACCACTTGAAATCTTGTGGGTTTTCAACAGTTTTATTTTAAAAACTGGATGGCTTATAATTGTGAAGCATTTTTAATTCACATTTTCTGGAAGACAGTTGTTCTCAGTTTGTTCATGTAGTGTCCTGCCTTATTGTTTGTTTTTATTTATGGCAGAATGTATGGAATCTGTTTTGTAGTTGAAAATGGAAAAAACATTCCTTTAAAATAAAAGGATATCGATAACGTCATGCCTCATTCTGGTTTTATTCAAACACAATAAATTACTTTTTAAATATTACTCAGCCACTTCAAGAACAATGTTAATAAGAATTAAAACCATCACAGGAAATTGGTAAGAGCATACATATTAGAATTAGCTTTTTTTTTTAAAAAAAATTCTTCTAGAGGATACAGTATATTTTTGCTTTTAATTCCATGACTGTTTAAAGATGACACCATCGTAACAATACTTGGTACAAATCTAATGCTGATTGTCCAGGTGTACTAGCTAACACAATCCCCTCCTGGATATATCTGCATTGGTCTTCCACTTTATAATATACAAAGCTAAATGTTAATATATTAGCTACATAGTTTAACTTGTTATTTTCAAACCAGCTAACAAAAAGGCTATATGAACTTTTGAAGCAGTTTCTACGTATACTTTAATTTTAATTGGTAATCGCCTATTCAGAACTGCATTCTTGTAAGACCACAAGAACCCCGTGAACTACAGGAATTAAGATACTTGTCAGACAAGTTGGAAGACAATTCCACCACCAGCAGTAGAGATGACTGCAGGTCACTGCTGGTATCTACCAGACTGAAAGATGGAAACAACGTACGTATACCCATATGAATATTCACATGGAGGTAAGGTCTGGTCTCATCAATCCTAGTATTTCTTTTTTGCTTTGTCACTTAATGATATTTGCCTATCTCTTTTAAAGACAATGTGGAGAAACTATTTGTCAACCACTAGCATTAAAAAACAAACAGGGAAAAATCACTAATGGAATTTATACTTGTGGGTAATTATTACAGCCTCTTTAGATCTTTTTGCTGCTGAAAGGCCTACAAAAGCTTACAAAAATTGAGGTGCTCATTCCCAGTGTGTAACCCCAAAGGTGAGAGAGGAGCCAGCTCTAAGTATTGCGCATTTTTCTACAGCAAACCCCTACTGAGAGGAGAGATGGGACTTACTGCATCGACCCAGCGAGCAATACGCATGCACTAGCAGCAGCACAATCCATGCCTTGATGTCAGAGTAACAGGGAGCTGGCAGCCATGGACCCTGAATTCCAGAACTGGGAGCAGCCATCGCCTAGATTAAGTAAGTACAATTTTATCTATTCATAATTTAGTCCCATTCATTCTGTCATCAGTCATGTACTTTTCCAACTACGTTGTTTCACCGTGATGTTGTTCCTTCACACATCCTTCACACCATCACCTACAGCATCTAACTTCTTGTAATATGCTTAGTTCACAGGGGTCTTTTAAAGAAGCCTCTAGGCAATAGTAGAATGTAAAATAACAGCAGCAATTTCTAACTTCAGCAACACTCAGTTATAAAAAGGAAAAAAAAAAAAAACAGGAAAAAACTTTTGTTTGTTTTTTTTTTTCCCCAAACTCTAGAAATAATGTTTTGGGTAGCTTTTTTGATACCCTGACCACTGAATTAATTTTTGGAGCTGCAGAGCTAGAGACTGTATTTCAAGGTGGAATCTGCATTAATAACAAAGTACATTAAGCAGATGCAGCACTCTTGAAGACCTCTGCAGTAACCATAGCTGATTCAAACAAATAAATAGACCACATCAAAAACCGACTCATTTTTGAGTTACCAAAGAGATGCAAAGACAGACATCAATTTTACTATTTGAGTAAACTTAGCCAAGGGAAAAAAATCACTTGTCTGAGCTGGTGAGCTCTTGCTACAGGGACATTTCTTTTTTTCCCTTTGGGGAAGGCAGATTTGTAATGAACGAGAAAAAATGGTTTAATAGTTGCACAGGCTAATAGAGAACAAAAGGCCTTCATCCAAACTCAAATTTAGTGCATCTATATCCATGCTGACATCTAAAGCAAAGCTGGAAAGGAAAGCATTAACAATGATTCATAATTAAGTGCTTCCTTCTAGAAGGCCTATTATTTTGGTTGACTTGTTGATTAATAAAACAAACCTGGATGTTAACAATAGAAGGGCCATTTATTTATTTTACATATATATATGTATTTAAAGAAGAACACACATTTTATTTTGGGTACAGTCTAGCATTTAGGACACTTGCTATTATTAATTATGAACTTTGTTTTCATTAATTCATCAAATTTTGATTACTGTAATAGTGGTATGCCCAATAACTAGAGGAAAACTTCAAAAGGTACTTACCTCCTAGCTGAGTTTGAAATTGCAATAAGGCTGTAAGATCACTGAGCTCTTCTGTGAACAATCATCTATACAACATGTAACTAATTAAATTCAATATCTAAAAATATTTCAAGTTTCAAGAACACCTCTATGAAGTAAAAAAAAAAATATATTGAAAATATTCCCTGTGTATTCAAACGAACACTAAATAATTCACTTCCCACTGTAAATTTAAATTCATGCACACTTCTGATAGTGCTCTGCACTTCCTGGATAGTTTCAAAAACATAATTGAATATGCAACCACCTCAAGTTGTAGTTTTAAAAAACAAGTAAAATTTTCAGCCTAAAGTTTCACACACTTAAAATCCACCTTCTGAAAATGACAAAGATTTACTTTAAAAGTACTATTTCACGTAAAAAGGAGTAAACTACTTGCAAAAAAAAGGTAAGAAATGCCACTTTTATCAAAACATTTTAGCTCTGCCTTTCTGAAGACTTTACAAGAGATAAATAACAGCTGCAATCTATAAGATTGCCACCTTTGTAAGTACTGTACAAAGCAGAGGACAGTTACCTAATAACCAGAAAATTTGCTACAAAAATATATTGTGTTTTGTAACATCTGAAGGTAAACAGCAAAAAAACGCTATCAAAAATGCAGAAAAAACTAGTAGTCTACCATACTAACCATAATGTTACAGTAAAGTGCTGTTTGGCTTTGTTTTCTGCCTGTTAAAGTTTCTCCTATCTACAATTTTAGCTTACTTCTGAAGTCTTTAAAGTAAGATCTTTTTAAAGCCAAATCACCTCGGCAGGGAAGGACCACTGTTAATCTCTGAATGAATTAAAATAAATTCATGATAAATTAGAGTAAAAAGCCCTAAAATGATCCACTTAAAAACAAAGTTTGGTTCTTAAACTTACCCTACCTAGCACCCACTCAAAAATCTAAAAATTGCAGCCAGAAAACTACCAGGACATTCCCCCTCCCAACATTGCAAACTTACATTATAAATGCATCTCTCTTTCATCATTTCCTTCAGAACCCTTATTGCAATTCATTGATCTTCCTCATTAGTCATCACTAGTGAGTTAAAAGGAACTGGTGTTTACATGAAAAGCTGTTTTCCTAGACAAATATTGGTGCATTTTTTTTAAAATAGCTGACAAATTTAATACTGTATTGGTAGCAAACTGCGTTTAAGATTCTTTTGACTTCCCTGCAAGTTGGGATTCTTCCTTGGTCAGTATTTTGGCAAGAACAGCATCATAATAAGGGCTGAAGACCATTTTGTTGTAGTTGACCAGACGGACGTACTTGACAGCAATCTCTTCCAGCTCTCTTTGAATAGGACCTAATCCTCCAGGAATAGCAGGTAATGATTTCTGGTGACTAGATGCAAGATAATTCTCCAGAAACTTTTGGATTCGAGAATCTGGAAAAATTGGACCAAGGGTTTTGGTTTGTTTTTGAAAGAGACAGTCACTTAGAAAGGTTGTCATCTCACGTAAAACACCCAACAGCAGTAAACAACTATTTGAAACAAACTAACTGAGAACGCATGCATGACATGCCACCAACAGTTTTATGAGTAGAGACAATTTGTCACTTGAGAACAGAGCGTTTTTGTCAAAACATACCTATTAGTTTACATATGGTGTTATCAGGATTGGCCACGGCTTGGATTTGTCCTTTAAGTACAGTCTCTCTCTCAGCTGTGAATGGTGTAAACCCGTGCTGGGAAAGGCAGCTGTTGACTTCAGCGCACACCTTTTCACCAATGGTAGCCAAAGATTCCTTCAGGTTAAAGGCGCTGGAGAATATGGAGTAGAAAGCATTACTCAGCTACTTTACTTACACACTCTTTTCTCACCTTTTGAAAACAAACTATCCAAGTATATTTGCCTTATTTATTGAACTTAATAGAAGAGTAATCCAGATAATGCAAGAACCATAAAGAATATATATAAAATGTATTAAAAAAAATGAGACAGAAAACAAGGAGATGGACAGCACTAAAGATTTCCAGCCTGAACGATCTATACCAGTAAGAGTTGGACTTTGTCTGCACAGGCAGCTCAGACTAATGTGAAAAACAATTGTCAACCCACAATGTGTACAGCAATCTAAACCTGCAAGCAGCTTACTGTAGCACACTCAAATTCTCAAGGGATCCTGGCTGGAAACCATGAGCACAGCTTCTGCTTACAGGGCTCTAACCAGGTATTGTAAGTAACACACTTTGAAAAAATGAGTATGTCTTTATCAGAAAAGAACAAATCAAGAAAAAAAATGGCTCTCTGTCAGTAAGGTGAACAAAAATCATCAGCCTGAGCTACCTACACCTGCCTCTGTGCGAGCAGGAGCATTCAGTACTCACGGAAGATGCATTCCTGTCAGCAGCACCTTGACAATGGTTTTGATTTTCTCAGCAAATCCAGGAATATCAACAAGTGCTGAGCCTGCTGCACTGAACACGACCAAAAGGACAGTCCCGGTCAAGAGGAGTTGTTCCAGTTCCAGCTGTATTTCCTGAAAGCGGCTCTGGTCCATTAGCACTGTCTGCAAAGAATGGGAAATCCAGCACAGAATTAAGTCTGTAAGCTAGCCCGTGAAGTGCCACTGTGATGCTAGCTAGAGCTAATTCAGGAAACTGTGAAACCTAAATTCTTTCACAGGTATTTACCAAAACCAAACAAACCCCATTGTTTTTACTAGACATTATATGAGACAGCAATATCAAAACCATGCACTAGGCTAAGAAAAACCCAGCACAGAAGTCTCTAAAGCAGTATGTCTAGAAGCCAGAATAAGAAATCCATCTTCCCTGAGCTTCCTGCAGAAGGTTGCCAAATCACTCTTAGACCTCAGATTCCAGCATGCCACACTAAGTTTGCATTAAACACTGCCTATAAAGTAAGCCACTGAAACTTACAGCTCGCTCTGCCAGCAACAGGTTTGCCCAGAGAGGCTGTGGAGTCTCCATCCCTGGGGACACTCAAACCTGAATAAATACAGCCCTGAACAACCTGCTCTGTCTGTCTCTGCTTTGAGCAGATCGGGCGACCTGATCTCCAGCTGTCCCTTCCAGTCTAAATTATTCTATGACCTGATCCCTATGGATAAAAGGGCAATCGTTTCTACCCTTTCTTCTCTCCAAAATAGTTTAGGAGGTTGGAAATACAAATACACACATCTTTTGATACATAAAATTGTATACTATATTAGAAATATAAAATTAGGCTATATTTATATATAATAATAAATGAAACACACAATACTACACTGTAGATATATTGCAATACTCTGCATTACGATATCAAACACACACAAGCCTATTTGATCAAATCAGTCTCATCTGACATGCTGACTTAGAGACCAGACTCGAATGCTTCTGAGAAAGGGCATAAGAAATTTTCTGATGAACCATTACAAAATGACTTCCTGGGAAAAGAAAAAAAACTTCTGGGCTAACAAGTTCAGAACAAAGATAGCTTGACTGGACTACGCTAATAACCTGTACTGTGTTGTTACCTCTAATGAATTGTTTTATTCTCTCACTTTCATGACTACTATGTTAATTCACAAGAAAAGTGAAAGTTTCAGTTAATAACTGAAGGATTTCAGTTAAAGAGTTCATAGTGCAAACAAGTTTTAATCCTGTCAAACCTGAAAATGCATATATTTTAAGAGACACTATTCGTGTTAAGATACAGCACAAGCAAATAAAGATATACTCAGTATAATTCCTGTTGAACAATCTGAACTTAAATTCTTAAAGTTTTTTCAGTGCATACAGAAAGTTCTCAAATACATCTGAAAGAACACAAAAGATGATAAACTTTTCTGCCTTGTGGTTTCTATAAAAACATTGCAAAAAAGCCCTCCTGATGGATGGACAAGAAGCCGTTTATTTTTTCCCCACCATGACTTTTTTGTCCTTCTGCTCCAAAAAAAAGAACACCTAATCACAGGAAGGACCTCATTCCACTAACATCCATCTTTTCTCTCTGACAATCTGAATTTACAAAGTAGCCCCAGTTCTAAGGGCGGCTGGAAAGATTTTGAACCAAAGATTTAACCTCTCCAGAACAAAGAGAAACAGCTGAGTGATGATAAAGCTGCAAAGAACCATGTTTTATAGCAGTTTCCAAACTCTGATACTTACGCTGGACCAGTCCTTTGAGAAGCAGCTACTAAAACCAGTTTCCATACTCTGAGAATAACAGAAATGGCTGCTCATTTACCCCAAAACTCCCTGCAACTTATTTTTTTATACAATTACTGTATCCCCCACAAGATGATGTTATTGCAAACTTGATAAAATGACCATTCATATTTAAAGGAGAGCTTGGGGGTGCAGACCCAAAGGAAATAAAACCTCAGTGCCAGACAATCCATGAACACTTTGTTCTGTCCTACCCCAGGCAACTTCCATGAATTAATAAGCTACCAGAGAGGAGACAAAGGCACAGAGAAGAGCAACACCTGCTCAGCAGGCAAGTATCAGGAACAGAACGGAAACAACTGGCTCTTCTTTTCCAACTAAGTTTCAATACTGAAAAAGAAGCGTGTATTAGAAGAGCCACAAGAATTCAATCAAGAGATAAATATTTTAGTGTTGTACTTGCAGAAAGGCTACAAATTAGAACAGTTTCTGTTATATCCTAGGAAAGTAAAAGTAGTAGAACAGAAATCAATTTTCCTATTAAACACCTACTTCTGGGAAAGGCCTGTTCATGTGATCCCACTTGAGTAGCTTCAGATACGCCTGATTTTGTACAGCAGTGGGGCACAATGCAGAAGCTTCACCAGCAGCACCATCACCACTGCCGTGGGGAGGTAACCTGTTACTTCTCAGCTTCTCAAGATCATCTGCTGCTTCTTGCAACCAGTTCAGTGACAAGGTCTAAAGAATCTGAGAGAGAGAGAAAAAAAAGTCTTGTTAAAAAATCATTTTCAAAGTTATTTTTTTCCACTGCTAATTTCCAAATAATCCCATTAATTATTATTCCTAATATCCAGGATACCATTTATTGACATGCATTTTATTTGTTGTTTTTGATGTTTTGCTTAATGCAATATTAAAACGCCACAGCTACAGAAATCAGGTGAGATGATGTTAGCTAATGATTACCTACATCATACTGAAATGAAACTAAACTCCAGTGCACTAAGTGCAGAACTGTTGTTCCAGTAGTTTTTTTCAAACCACAGTTTTGGGGCACAAGCTGTCATTTTCTATATGAATTATATAGAACTTACAATAAAATCCAATTTATTTTCATTATCTACAAGCAAAGACACACAGTTTATTGAGAGGTCAGAGGGGAAGAAAGAAAGGAACAAAGTCATACTTGGCTGTTTCTCAAGAAACTCCTGAAACTTCTTTCTTTCATATTCAGCAGACTGCTGCATTAATTTTGGCCTAATACTACTGACAGCGAAGTTTGCCATATCCATTTTCATTAGGTCTAATACAGAGAAAATGGCTCTAAACAAACAAACAGAAAAAGTTATTCAAGGTTTCAGATGTTTAAGAAGTTATATTTACAAGCTTTATTGCAGACTGTCTAATGAAAGAGCAAAAACATGCATGGGAAACATTAACGATGTGCTTACTTTAGGAGTGTTAGGCAGAGAGAAAGCTTGAGCAAGTATGCACATATATGCACGTGTATCTTCCAAGTATGACTAAAACTTGCTCTCCTGCAAAAAAAGTCTCTGTAGAATTAACTTCACTAGCTTCAAAGGTTATACTCCCCATTGTGCAATATCGTATGTTGAAGACACAAAAAGACATCTGGGTTTCCAAGCTTGCAAACCATCTGTTGGCAGCCTACACAGCCAACCTCAGTGGGAAGGGAATAATTAAAACCAAGATTAAAAAAAAAAAAAAGCAAAAAATACCTTAATTTCAGAGCAACCTAATTCCTGCTGGCAGTCTTTCTGCCACATCAATCCTCGACTCTTGGAAGGTTATCAGATTAGAAAGCAGAGTTAATAAAATTTCCTCTAACTGTCGAGACCTTGAGCTGATCAACTGAGAACACGGTGACAAAGCAGAAACTTCTCTGCTCCCAGCTGCAGAACCTACACTCCTGTTAGAACTAGCAGCATGTTATACTGCAGGGAGAGAGGGCTCAAACAGGTGGTAAAGGAAGAACTAGCTGAAGAACAGTCACACATTTTTCCTATGACCCCAACTGCTTTTTTCCCCTCTCCCTTCTGCTGTTGATATTAAATCCTGATACAAACTGATCATTCACCTGCTATCTGGAAGTTTATACATACTTATCTGGCTTTTAAGAAAATGTCCTTCTGTAATAAGCAGGAGCCAAATAGAATACACCAGAAAATACAGGGTCCTTGATAAAGACTTCTGGGGCATCTCTCCCCTTCACAACCACTGCTATAGTTCCTTCCCTGTAACTCTTTCTTTTCTAGGAAGAATTGCAGGTCATCCTAGTGGAATCCCATACCCCCCCTCCCCAGTCACACATCTCTAAAATTATTTAAATGGCTCTCAATATGATGAATAAATACCATTTTGGTACCTGAACAGAGGGACTATTTCATGAATATCTTTCAGTTTCTTTATTTCTTCATCGCGAGCTGGAGCACAGAGAGTCCCCATCATTCCAATAACAAATTCTACCAACTTTGAAATGTCCAGGGCCCCATTCTCTGCCTCCTGTTTTATCAAATCCAGATCAAGAACTTCTGTAATCTGATTTCTTAGTCTTGTATGGCCAGGCAACAAGAAAGACAGGAGAGTCTGAAACAGAAAGTTTTAACTGTGCGTTAAAAGTTCTACCACATCAAACGCTACAAGGATCATAGCAGTTATTGAACCACTTTTTATTTAAACTAATTGCCATTTAAAAGTGGAATCTCTTTTTTTTTTTTTTTTTAAAACAAGACCACAGAGTCATTTGTCAACTCCACATTCAAATGTTTCACCTTATCCTTTATGATACTGAAGTTACAAAGTAGTAAATGCTTTGTAGTACAGATCATACTTCAGGCTATTGTGCCTGACTTTTGTCAGCCCAGTGCTGGGGCACCTCAGTGATTCCATAACTAATGCCACTGTCATGACATAGAGGAAGCTTGGAGTTATGAAACTAGCATTACCACCTACCTCTTATTCATCTTACATTGTTTCATATTTGTTTGTACATTCAAGTTGCTCCTGGGGTTATACAACTCACTTGAGTTCACAGAAAACTGTACAATAATGAAAAGGATCAAGAGGCTCCTTTACAAACAAACTTCAACCTCCTTTGCCCATTCACATCAACACAGCTACACAAATGCAGTAATTAACTCTTTTAAAGTATCCTCTTACCTCTTTAATTTCTCCCAATAGTTTAATTGCATGGTCATATGTCGGTGGATCCTCCTTTAGCTGAGCTTCCAGACAATCCCAGAAAGCTTTATGCACAATATCTCTTACTTTTTTTTCCAAGCTGTAGATAAATATGACCAGTTAAAAAAAGACCAATACTTGTCTCTGCACCATCTTATGCAAATACTTGCAGCTCCTGAAGAAAAGCATACAATATATGAACATAATGTAATAATGGGTACGGGAGAATTGACGGAAGAAATCTCTCATTTTAAGTTACTCAGGCAAGAAAAACTAAACAGAGGATTTGGAATGGCTCATGCCCTAATACATGGTTACACACACGCAAAGAAAGCTACCAATTACAATCCTTGAAAGTAGCTGTCCAATGCTACCTCTGAATTATACCATTAGCATAAAAAAAATGATAAAAATTATACCTCATCTTCAAAAGCACAGTATTGGCATTCCTCTGAAGAGCCTCACTAAGTAAATGCAATTCTACTAAGTCAAATTCATTAAGTAAACATAACAGAAATGAAGCAACTTCCCTGACATGAAAGCTTCTGCATTTCAACACAAATACTGTGATTATGCTGAGCTGAAGTCCTGGTTCAGTTTGTATAAACAATAAGTGAATTCGACTGCTTCAGAAGCAATGGGTAATTCAAAATACTGAAGGCTACTCCTCCTCAGCAGGCAGCCTCTGTTTACAGCAGGCTTAAATTCAGCACTGAAGTGAAACACTCACACATGTGTGCACACAAAGAATGCCCATACCAAACGCCACAGATTCACAGGGCATTCACTCCGTGTGCAGCGGAGTGCAGGCAGTGCCCAGAGGTATGCGGCGTGCTCTGAGAGCAGCCAGTGACGTGTTTTACTCTAAGTGCATCCAACTGCAACTACAATCCCAGCTGCTTTTTCCTCAAAGCACTTCTCTGCGTGTACATTCAAGCTCTGGGAGCCTCCGAGCTATGCACAAACATAAAAACGCATTTAATCCATGGAAGATGTCAGTGTCCCTCTTCAAAAAATCTGAAGGGCTGCTCTTTCTTTTTGAGGTGGTAAATAACTGCCACCAAAACCTTCACTAGAGCCTAATACAGCGATCTTTTCCTGGGAGCAGCCCTGGCCTGTCACAAAGCCCAGGCGCTCTGGGTAAGCTGATCTCTGCAATACATCTGCTTCTGCAAGCAGGTGAAGAGATGCAAATCAGCCACTCTGAGGAATTACAGCTACTGTTTAGAATCGGTGAGCAAAAGTATCCAAATTACCAAAGTACAGAATTGTTCCTTTTTTATATATATATATAATTATTATTATTATTAAGGGGGTGGAGAGAAGAAGAAAGGGTGGAAAAACTTGCTAAACTCCTTCTCTGAAAAATGCTGAGATCAATTTCATGACACTAAGGCATACCAGAAAAGTTATCCACTATCACAGCACATTTTAAGCAAGAAATCCCTAAGAACAGACAAGGAGCAAAAGCAGACACTTAATTGAAAAGCACTGTTCTAGCTGTGGGATTTTATATGAAGAATTTTTTGTCAGCCATCAACTGCAAGCAGCAAATACCTGATGGAAGTTCCCCCAGGGTGGACCTTCTGTGCTGGGACACAGAAAATAACCCAGAATGGGGAGCTTTGCATGCCTTAGCCATACTTTCCCAGCATTTGCTTCAGAGACAGAATTTGTACAGGACAGAGAGGTGCCAGGTTTTGGGACCACACATGAATTAATTGCACACAACCTGCAAGTAACACAACAAACGAGATGAGGACTGGACAGAAGTGCCTGGGTTTGTCTAGCAGACAGGCGGACGCTGAGAGGCAGTGCTGAGAAGACAGATCAAATCACTGCTTGAGCTCTGAACTCTGGGGGACTCTCAAAAGCAGAGTAGCTATGACACCTGCAGACAACATTCTGGTTCCAGTGTGGACCAAGTGTACCATAGTGGGAGTCACACCACATACGCCCAAACAATTACCCCAGAAGGTTTGCGTTTCACACGTACATGTTTCTGGGGAAGCAGAACTGCATGCTTAACTTCTGAATGCTTTTTTTAGGCTTCTCCTACCAAGCACTGCCCAGAAAGACTGGCTGGAGCCTTTACCTGCTCCCCCAGAACCGTTCTGCAGTTCTACCGATGAGGATTTTGTTTGTGTGTCTGTTCGGTACCAGTCTCACCTGTGTTCTGGTAACTCAGCTGGTTTGATCTGGAAGTCTCCGTTCACAACAATTTCATGTGCTAGCGCCATGTTGGTTACTCCCTTGGCTGTTTCCATGAGCTCTTCCACCGACACAGGCCGAGGAGGGCTGGCTGCAATGTAAAATTAAACTGTGAGACAGTTACCCAGAAAAATCTGTGGAAAAGCATCTGCTAATACTTTTGGACCCTTTCCACCTTCTTGACAGCACAGCAGGCCAAAAGACAGTATCACCAAAAGCTCTTCTCTTCCTTCCCCTCCTCTCCCCAGCTGGCAGATGACACAGGTTTGGAGCACTTTAGGAAACCAAGGAGCAAACCCCAGTTGATATTCTGGGCTTGTTATGTCGATTGCTTTTAAGTTACATTGAGCTCTTTGTTAAAAAAGAAGAAAAAAAGGCCAACCTCAAAAAATTACTTCTTTAGAATTGCTTAACTGCATCTTTCTCCATACTACGCAAAGAAATCATACAAACACCAGCACCTTCACTGCAGGTTCCCCCAGTTTTCACCAGGCAGGAGACGCAGGCAGTGAGTGACCGACTCCAGACACCTGTTAGGTAGCAGAGGGGCAGTGACAGTTTCAAAAAACTTCATTTGCTTCCTGCATGCACGGGTAGTTACCTGCTCCTAATTGTTCTGGGTTACTTGACATCCTTCTCCCTGGGAAGGGTGCTGCTGCCACTGCTGTAAGTGCAGGAAGTGTCTCAGCCCTAAGAATGAGACAACGTAAAGGCAGAGAAGGTGCCGAGGGTGTAGGCTGTGCTGGTTAGAGGAGCGACCCTGTCCCCACTGAAGCCAACTGCAACTTGTTGCCACCGATTCTTTGTGGTAAAGCTTCCTCCTAGCTGTGCTAGCAGCAGTGCCTGCAATGCCAAGCCCACGGTTAGAAGAAGCTTTCCCCTGGGCCAGATATTTGAGAAGGGGGAGAAGGCTAAATCATGAGCGTCCTCAGGTGGAGCAGACAAAGAGGGCAACATTCACCTCAGCTCCTCCATTTAACACGTAGCTGCACAGAGAGAGGGAAACCACACAACAGAACTGCCACACTGCATCGTGTCCCCTCTCTGGAGTTCATTCACTTCAACGATGGCCTGGGCACAGGAGCAGTATGGTAATTCCTCAAATTTAAGAAACCAGACAGGGATCTTCATGGGCTGCGTTCACTGAGATGTTTTGGAAAAACTAGCGTGACTGTCTCATTTCATAATCCACTTTGACTGGACTTAAATTAGCAACACAGAAAGGGCCCTTTAAAACTAACTGTCCTTCACTTGTCTGCCTCTCAAAGCTGTTCCAAGTATATAGAGTGTAATTCCAAGAATATCTGCAGCGTGCTAATTTTTCATTAACATCTCACTCTTTTCATGCAGCACTCTTCAACCCTGGCTTCCTTCTGCTTGGAGCTTAGCCTTGCACAGTGACTCTGGGAACACAGCAAGAATTGCTGTCCTGAGAAGCAGCCGCACAAGGAGGTTCTTAGCTGAATGAGAGTGCTCTTGTCCAACTGCCAAATGACTTCACCCTAGCAGGAGACGCACTAAAAGCTAAGAGACTCTTTCATTTACCAAAGAATGCTCTTAAATCATGTTACTCCATTCTCATAATATATCTGCTCCCTTCCAAGAGGGGAGGGCTTGAGACTGATGACTCGTTTGTGGTACAGTGCAGAACAGGACAGTACAATTAATTTTATTTTCATGCGTCCATAGCCTCTCTCCCTTATATATTTTTTCTATAATTTCCTATCAAGCAACCAAGAAGATGTAAGAGTATGAATTCCATTCAATGCATCTCCTCGTGTAACATGATGCTAAGAGAACATTAAACCTCAAGTAATAATGAACACTATTAAAAAATAAAAATAATAAAATGTTACATCCTGAGACTCTCCCTACAGAAATACGGCAATAGTTACCTGAGCAATTCTGTCCCTTTGATCTGAATCCCTGGGACCAAAAACCTTTCTCTTTGTTTTATCTACAGATTTGCCAGAAATACAGATATTGCACCCAGATCCTGATGTTAAAAGCAAAATGACAGAGCAAACATGCCCTAGGAACAAACTTACACTACGACAGTCCTATAAACTCCTTGATAGTAGAAGTGGTAGTAGGATTGAAAATATAAACTTTCCATCTCTGTTTGCTTGGGGAGGAGGGGAAGAAAACAACAGGACATTATTTGGTTAATAACAGCCTTCCCTGCCCTGCAGCAAAAACAGAGGCTGCAACAATCCAGAAGGTTCAGCTGATAATGCGAACAGCAGCGTCAGTTTAGCTACACTGTACTGGAGGAGTGCTTATCCTCTCTGCGAATGCAGACAGACAGAAGTACCTAAGCCATTTGTGGCTCTGAACAACATGGTTATGGTGGACAATTACATGCTATAACAAAATGGGAAAAAAGGTGTCATGAATAGCGTCAAAGCAAGTGATCAGGAGTTGTACAATATTTAATAACTAAGCAGTCAAACTTACACGAAATACAATAAAAAATCATGATTGTCTCCGCTGAAAAAAATACAGAATTGTGTATTTTTTTAAGCAGTTTTGCTTACACTTTGGTGTATCATCTCTGTATGAACCTGGAGCACTCTGTCGTATTCTTTTTCTGATAGACTGATCCGGGTTGTCCAAGCTCTCCTGACCATCCTCCAAACCACTCGACTTTTCTTCGCTTGAAAGGGGCTTGTCAGGATTCTGAGACATTTTCAGTTGTTTCCTTACAGAAAAAGAAAAAATAAAGATGAAAAAGGGAATGAACAAGGGTTTTCTGACATGGCTCAGTGGGAAAACATCACCATGAGTTCTCTCAATTAACAAAAAAATAAGAATAAAAGAAATCTTATGAGGAATTATATGATGTCATTCCCATAATGGCAGGGGACCTGGACTCAGTGACTCACTTCCCATCTTACACAAAAAGGGATGCTTTCAGCACAGCTACCATTTACTTGATCTGTATTCCTAGTAAGTTCTCAAAAATCTGAAACTGTTCCCTTGCCTCATTGCATGCAGATGAGAAGGAAAAATATACTCACTTTTCTTTATTAGTACTGCTTATGAAAAACGTGAAAAACGCAGTGAAAAATGCTTTCTGAACAGTATTACAGACACGTTGTACAAAAAGATGATGCCAAGTGAGGTATTTCTCCACTATATAGCCACAATAAAGCATTCTGAACACAACAAACTCCTCAACTGGGATCTGTCTCAGCGTATCAGAACTTACAGTCTCCACTCCAAGACACCCTAATTAATGAAGAAGCAGGAAAGGTACTAGAGATAAATTAATATAAAGCTCTTCTCCCCTGATTTCATTCCATGTAAGAGTCATGATTTATGCATGGTGATGATGTCGGGAAGATTTAAAAAAAAAAAAAAAAAAAAAGACAATAAATAACATGGTAATAGTAATATTAAGGTATATGGAATGTTAAATAATGTTTATATTACATCACAAATACTTGCAATATACCCGGTGATACATTGAAAAAATGACCCCTGGAAAAGCACGTCTCACCATTCGCTACTTTCACTTATTTTATAACTCAGATTTCCCTCAGAAGAATGTAATTTGCATGTCTTACTATCAAAAACTCTGCATCATACAGGACGCTACCATCCAGACTTCAATTTTAGAAAATCTGTTCGCACAATATCCCTCTCTAAATCAATCCTATAACCAGGATGTTCTCTGAAGCAGAAAATCAGGAAGAGTCTTCCAAAAAAAAAAAAGGAAGCTCGCTCCTGGAAAAACACCAGCTTCCTCTTTCACCTACTTTCCCAGCAGCCACTGCTTTCCAAATTTGAAAGAAGCTCTCAGCAAGATACAGCCTCCAAAGGCACCTCGCAGCTAAGAGAAGAAAATACTTACAGCATCAACAACTACACAGAAGAGGATAAACAGCCTGAAGATAAGCAAACAACAATACAGAAATACGAAACGCACCACGGAGATTCTTTTCTCTGTACAACAGCTGTGCTAACTAACCTTACTCCGTCAGCACCTAAATTGACTGCACCAGCGTGATTCTACAAGGCAGCCAGAAGACTCGGGGCACAGAAGAGATGATTTTTCCTTCTATAGCAATGACTCAGGATCATCATCTTGTTAGGCTCACAAGCTACACAACAAGCACTGTCTCTGTGTCATTGTCCATAGCACTGTCTGATTTTGATTTTGGGCAAGAAAACAGAGCACAGAAAGCATGGGATAAACCTACACAGGCAAACCAACATCAGCACAGATACTGTTGGATCCATATATGACCCCCACCTCTAGCTTGAAGAGAGAGAGTCAGTGACTCCCCAGCTACAAGGCACAGCACCAAACCAGCACACAGGCACAGAGCCAGCAGGAAGCCACTGGTGGGCAGAAGGCCTGCTGCTGCAAACACACCAGCAGCAAGAGGATGAGGTCTGGTAATAAAGAAGCAGTTAGAAAAGAAAAGGATAGCAACATCTGAAATGGAAAATGTAAGATAGGTCAGGTTAAACAGAGGAGGGCAATGCATTGTCTAATCCAGCTAGCACAAAAGCACCATCACAAAGGTTTCCACATTCATTCAGCCAGCCTAGATTGCTCTTCCTACCCACAAAGCATCCTCCTGAAATGACACCATGAAGCACGATGACTCAACGAAGCCCTACTTAGCTCTCCACCACGCGTGACCCTTGGCAGTGCCTTGCCATCCCTCCCTCACCGTGTTTCACCCTCACCACCCTCCACAAGTGCAGAAAGGGCGCGACACAGCTTGCCTGTGGAGGGCAGGCAGGTGGGAGAGCCGGGAGCTGCTCGAGGGCCACAGAAGATGAAGGCCAGGGCCAAGGCACCCACCAGCCCCCCGGTTCCCACCCTGCTGGGCCGCACAGCCTGCAGCCTACAGTAGGGCTGGAAAGCACAAGGAATGAGTTGTATTTAAACGCCGTTTGTTAGAAACAAACCTTATTTCGGAGATGGAAAATGGCTACAGCTCCCACGCCATCTGGCCTAGGACAGCCCAGAGAGAGACAAGGTACGCGGGCACACTTGCTGGCCCTGCTGTGTCTGCGCAGCCTCCTCCTTTCTGCGGGATCACCGCTGCTGTTTCCAGAAGGCACCTAGAACAAACCCTGCTGTGAGGGAGCTGCACAACACCTCCCTAAACGCATGCCCGCCAGCTCTGCCTCCCCAGCAGCCGCTCTCCGCACACAGCACCGCCTGCCCCTTGCCGTTTCCCCCCGATACCACCTGCACCCGGCCCAGCAGCCCCCAACCAGGGCACCCCCGGGCCCGTTTCACCCCATCTCCCCCCCTCCCAGCGCACAGCTCCGGCTCTGCGGGGCTCCGGGGCCCTGTCCCGGCTCCCCCGGCCCCGTGCCCTGTCCCCTGTCCCCTCGGCCCCCTCCTTACCGCCGCCGCCCGCAGCAGGAGCGGGCCCGGGCCAGCGCCGCCCGCCGCGGCCTCCGCCAGCGGCGCCTCAGCGCGGCCGCAGGGGCGGGCCCGGAGCCGCCGGGGAGGAGCCAGGCCCGGCACGGCCCCCCCGGCCCTCGGAGCAGGCACCACACACGACCGAAGGGTTGCTTTGCAACGTGCTACAGAGCGCTAGCTCAAATAAGATTCTGTTTTTAAAAGCAGTGTCTCTAACAAGCTGCTCCTGCTTCATTTTCATGGTTATCTTCCAGCCTCTCTCTGTCAGGCCACAAAGTGAAGCATCCCATTTAAAGTGGTCTCGTTTAAACTAGCTTTTTGTCGTAATAGGACACAGCTCTAACCACATTGGCTATGGAACAATTCATGATTTCTGGCAACAGTAACTCTGCTTTGTGATGATGCAAGAGAACAACCGAACGGCACAGGAGTTGAATCACAGAATTTCTAGGTTGGAAGAGACCTCAAGATCACCGAGTCCAACCTCTGACCTAACACTAACAGTCCCCACTAAACCATATCCCTAAGCTCTACATCTAAACGTCTTTTGAAGACTTCCAGGGATGGTGACTCCACCACCTCCCCGGGCAGCCTGTTCCCGTGCCTAACAACCCGTTCAGTAAAGAAATTCTTCCTAAGATCCAACCTAAAACTCCCCTGGCACAACTTAAGCCCATTCCCCCTCGTCCTGTCACCAGGCACGTGGGAGAACAGGCCAACCCCCGCCTCGCTACAGCCTCCTTTAAGGTACCTGTAGAGAGCGATGAGGTCGCCCCGAGCCTCCTCTTGTCCAGGCTGAACAAGCCCAGCTCCCTCAGCCGCTCCTCGTAAGGACTTGTTCTCCAGGCCCCTCAGCAGCTTCGTCGCCCTTCTCTGGACCCGCTCAAGCACCTCGATGTCCTTCTTGTAGAGAGGAGCCCAAAACTGAACACAGTACTTGAGGTGCAGCCTCACCAGAGCTGAGTACAGGGGATAAAATGAGATCTGTGATGAGGCTGTATGTTTTCCCTACTTGCAAGTGGGTATGTTACCCAGAGAGTTTACCTACTCACTTACCATACTCACTGGAGAGCATGCATAAGGTAAAATATGCAACTGTAAGACCCCTCAACAGCCCTTCATTTGTTACATTTGTTATAACCCTTCTCTGATTACAGCTGGCAACATCAGGAATACCTACAGGACAGTAGAGTAGCGCAAAGATGATGATTACTAGCTGTAGAAAGTTTCTTCTATAGCAACTGAAGTGAGACTGTCTACAAATCCTAGAATATCTTTATACCTTTACATCCCCAGAGAGTCAGTAGAAGTTTAAGGTACAGAGGAGGATTCAGCTGGGGAAAGGTCCTGGCTATTCCTCAATATAGTGGCATTTTGGCTTAAAACAGCACAGTAAGTTGTGATCTACAGACACAGTACAGGTGGCTCTCAAGCTTTAAGAACAGCTGTGGAACATCAAGCAGATGTTACTTCCACTCCATCCATCACACAACAAATGAAAGATCAGCGCAACTTAATTCATTTACAAGTACAGGGCCAGTTAAAAACAGTTGTTCAGCTTAAAATTCACTTCCAAGAGCAGAGCACAGGGAGAGGCATCCCCTATCTTTGTAACTGTAATACTTGTACAGAAGCAGTGAATAGAATTGGCTTTCTTAAAGGAAAAAAGAGAAATGGATATTTTTGGCCTATAGGTGCATCCTGGGTACCCTTGGTCTTTGTAATAACTACACAAATTTCATCTATTTCAACAAAATAATTTTATTAGATACATGAATATAAAAGATTTACAAATATATCAGTGTTTACAATGCTGCAGTATACAAAGTAATACATATTTAAAGTCACACACACAAATTATTAACTCTGTCTCCAAAATATTGCATAAAAATACTTGGATTAGTACTGTGAAACTGACCGAGCAGTCTCTTTCTCTCTTTGTCAGAGAGCTTTGAATCTTCATCAATAGCTTTCAGTAGAGACAATAGCTCAGCTTTTGTGGTCTTATCTGTCATGGAGCGATACTCTCTTTCATCAAGCTTTTCGCAAAAGGTATAGCCTAGAAGGAAACATGAGACATTTAGATAGGTCTGTAGCATCTGTGGTGTTAGCTATCTTCTTTAAGTGTCAAGTTAATCATTGTTTAAAGTAAACCTTTTTATATCATCTTGTTCCCCTTTATTTTGCATCTGGGTGCATGACAAGAATAAGCAGCTTGGTTTAAGCTTACCTGTTATCTTACTAGGGTCTTGGCCTGTCTGCAAAGCCAACAGTTTATTGCTGACCATTTTATGCAATGTCCCTGGGATCTTGAATAAACAGAGAAGATGGTCAAACAACAGCTTAGAATAGGCAATTCTGCACAAACATACAAGATAAAAGCTAGACAACGACAAGACTTACCTTTAACACATCTCTTTGGTGATCCACCAGGAACAAGATCAGAAGATCTGTTTTCCCTCTGGATAAGGATTTATTGTTGATAATAGCTTTAGAGAATGTTCTTTTCACAACCATCCTGTTGTCACTCTGAAGAATAATATGAAATAACCAGGAGAATTACTCTCCCCATTTAAAAAGGGCAAGGCATCATCTTTGTTTTTTTAGAATCTTTTTTCTGTAGACACATTTAAGCCACAGGTGTTTTCTGACCTATAACTGGGATATCTAGATATCAGTAAACAAAGCAACAACAGATCAGTATGCATGTTTACCTCCTCCTGTAGTTTGAGCTCAGAATTATGTGCTGCAACAGCCATGAAGTACAGTAGCCTCCTGAACTCCTCCCTGATTTGGCTGTCCAGAAGTTTCAAATAGAGTTGAAGAGCTTCTAAGGATTGTTCCATCTTCCCATTCACTGGGGAAAAATAAAGCTACTGATTACTATAATTACTTAAATATTATAATAAAACACAAATTTGACACTGAAGACCGCACCCCTCTAAAGAGAACCCCAAACATTAATTCCCACCAGAAGTTCTCACAGGCTGATAGCTGTTTGCACACAATCTCGAGAACAGCCTGCACCCAGGCTTTTAGCCTGCTATTTAAGATAGTACATTTTCAATTAAGCTCAATTACAGTTCACACTCCATTCAACACAGCTGAAATAATGAAAAAGGAAAAAAAGGTTTTGTTAAGCAAGTGACTTCTCACTGTGGAAATAAAGATCTCCCAATAAGTATGGAAAATACCCTAGATAAGTGATCTAGCTTGATGAATTAATTGCAAACCATTCTGTAGAGCTTTACTAAGTTTTAATCTATTTGGCTTTACTATGCTGAATATAAGTTTTAGATGTCTACTTAAATAAAGTGGGTTGTGCTAGTCTTCTCCCTTTACCTTGTAGGCAGGAAGTATGGGATATAAATGCAGAATATTCCCCGCACCGTGCAAAAGAACAGTCAAGGAAGAGAAAGACCAAGAAAATGGAGAGCAGGAATAAGATGTTAATTGAGAACTAAAACATAGAATCATTCAGTTTGGAAAGAGACCTCTAAGATCATATAGTCCAGTCTGTAACTTAGTACTGAAGCCCACCACTCAACCATGTCACTGAGTTCTGTATCTACATGTTTCTTGCAGACCTCCAGGAATGGTGACTCAACCACTTCCCTGCACAGCCTATTCCAGTGCCACACAACTCCTCCATTAAATAGCATCCAAAATTGTCATGTCCAACCCAAACCTCCCCGGCTCAACTTGAGGCCATTTCCCCTCATCTTATCATGTGGTGTTTGGGAGAAGATCCTGGTTGCCACCTCATTATAGCTTCCTTTAAGGTAAACCTTCAGAAGATCACTAAACTACTGTTTCTCTCTAAAATACTGTTTAAACGTAACATTTAAGAAACTGACAACTCTATGGACATGAAGGGGGAGAGCTATGACCTGGATATAAAGCATCCACTCAGCTCTGAGTTCATATCCTATGGTCTGAATATTGAACTATAAATGGCCTAATATTAGTTTCCCATGGATATTTGGTATTACTTGGTATCCATGGAAACTAAGTTACAACGCTTCATTTTCATAGCCGTTCCACACAGAATGGAACACAAGCTGCAAAACTGCATGCAGTCAGGGCTAGAAATTCCTCTTTATTTCAAAACCATCTTTATGAACAGAGATTAAAAGCCCTGCACAAGTCAAGCTTCAAGCTTAGCTGCTGTAGTAAATACAGATGTTGTCAGTACCTGTCTCACATAAGCTCAGGAACTCATTTTACTTACCCAGTAGTTCTGCAATTCCTGGATGAATTTCAGGTGCATGGCTTAACAGCGGCTCCTTTTTCTGGCCATAATATCTACCAATGTTTTCAAACAACAGTAGCTTCCATGCATCTGCTTTGTCTGGTTGATCAGGCAAGTTTCTGCTAATATCTACCACCATATGATCCGGAAGGTATTCCAGGCAATCTATCGCTGCTGAGAGCCATTCATCTGTTCTAGAAGACAAAGCAGTTTAATTTTGCAGTTTTACTTACTGGCACTTTTCAGAGTTGGCTGCACTCTGCCACTGAAAGTGAGTAGACTGGTTTCTAGCCAGCAGACACTAACTGTGTAGGTACTTCAATACATTACAACTTGGTACAAGGATGCTTTTCCCAACATGCCTCTTTGTTTAGCTGGGTAGGTTACTAATTGTTCATCTTGATTAAATACGTAGCAGTTGTAAGTAGTTAAACCTAAAGCTAGTGACGTCCTCTACTGTTATAGAGGAGGATAAAATTATTGCTAGATAAACAGAAATCCGAGGCTTGATCTGATTGGTAAGAGTTTTTTCAGCCCGTACTTTCAACTGCATTTGTACAGTTTCAGGCTCAGTTTTCTCTTGGTATTTTTAAAAGGTAAAGTAGTTAAACTATTCCCTCACAGGTAACTTTTTGTAATTTTTAAAGAAAAAAACTTCTGGGTGATAGCAAAATAGTCTACTTTTCACCCCTCAGTGCAGTAAACAGTAGCCCTCCCCAAATATTATCAAATACCATCACTGCCTTCAAAAACCTCTTCCTAGTGTTCAGCAGAAATTGCCTCA